TACATCCCTTGTAACTATGACTCAGTAGCCTATTTTCCTGCTTACTAGAGCCAAACTTTGTTGACTCTTGCTGCCTGTATTTCTCCACTTCCTATTTATTTCTTACCCAGTTGCAGCCTTGCTCCAGCTACCCCTAGTCCACTGAAACTTTATCAAGATAATGAATGACCTGATTGCCAAAGCCAAGGAAACCGAAGTTGGTCCTTTTCTTGATTCAGTGGCATTAATCACTCCTTGAAATTTCTCCTTTGCCTTCCAGTGCACCATTCCTCGCTCCCTTTACAACGCCCGCCCCACCCGCCCCCCTGATCACCCTTTTCTTTTTTTCTTTGGACCAAGCTTCAAAAATTGGTCCAGTATTCCACATTCCCTGGGGGACTTCTTGGCTCTCATGACCTGAACTTCATTATCTACATGCTGATGTCTCCTGAATCTAAGCCCTGTACCAAAGCTTTATTCCCAAATACCTCTCTGCCTGATGTTGGACCTCAACCAGGCTGTACCACGGGTTCATCAAAATACAACAGGTCCAAAAGCTAATTAAGGTTTCCTTTTGTACTCCTCTGCCTCAGAGAATATCCTGGTCGCCCACAGGTGGGGTGGTTCTCTTAGACCCTCCTCCTTCGCTCCCCTCATGCTTGCAGTTATCAAGCTCTTCCACGTCTGCTCTCCCCTTCAAATCTCTCAAGTTCTTCCTTTTTCTTTTTCCCTCATATTACTGCCTTCATACAGACATTTTATCATTTCTGACACAGACCTAGTCTCTTAAATATTTTCTTCTTTAAAATATTTTTTTATATCTTTATTGATTTCAGAGAGAGGAAGAGAGAGAGACAGAAACATCAATGATGAGAGAGTCATTGATCGAGCCCACAATCCAGGCATGTGCCCTGACCGGGAATCAAACCCTGATCACCTGGATCCTAGGTCGACCCTCAACCTCTGAGCCACGCCCGGCCAGGCAATATTTTCTTTTTTAAAAAAATATGTCTTTATTGATTTCAGAGAGAGGATGAGAGAGGGAGAGAGAGAGAAACATCATTGATGAGAGAGTCATTGATCGGCTGCCTCCTGCACACCCCCTCCTGGGGATCGAGCCCCCAACCCGGGCATGTGCCCTGACCGGGAATCAAACTGCGACCTCCTGGTTCATAGGTCGACGCTCAGCCATTGAGCCATGCCGGCAGGCCGGGCTTAAGTATTTTCTTATCCTGCTTTCACCTTCAGTCCATTTCCCCCACCTTCACCAGAAAATTTATTTTCTTGTCAGTCTTATCAGTCCCCCGGTTTAGTGTCTTCCTGTAGCCCATAAGATAAAGTTTAAATAGTTAAGCATGATATTCAGGGTTCTCCGCCTTTCCGTGAGACTTCATCTTTTCCCAATTGTACTTTGCATTTTAGCTGTCTGAACCACTTAGGAGTTTCCGTATCTTCAGATTTCTGCGTAAGCTGGCCTCAGCACCCCCTACTGCCCCCTTCCTTCACGAAGTCTTTCCTGACACTCCCAGAGAGATTTACCCCTTGGCTCCTTTAGCATCCTATGCAAAACACCTTTGTTACAGCACCAATCAAACCACTTGACTGGCAGAAAAGAAACAATTCTTCAGCAGTCTTTATGTTCCTAGAACCTAGCAGGGAATGTTTGATAAACGTGTGACTGGCTCAGTTCAGCACTTAAAAAACTTCATTAAGTAAAGGACAGTTTTCTTTAAGTAAAATGTTCTGCAACATTCTACTATGCCGACTAGGCAAAAGCCAGGGATCCCACCACTCAGCCGTCCGCTGCGGCGCCTCTGCAGCGCCAGCGCCTCGCGGGCAGTGAGACCGCTGGCTCGCAGGCCGTCCTGAAGCCGACCAGGCATCTGACCTGTCAAAAAGCTGTCCGACTCTGCCGGGAAAATGATCGAAGTGCTGATACATGCTGCAACATGAATGAGCCTTGAAAACATGTTAAAGGGAGAGGCTCGACACAGAAGGCCACATCATTGTAAGATTCCATCCGTAGGAAATGTCTGGGATAAGCAAAGCCATAGAGACAGAAAGGAGATGAGTGGCAGCGAGGGGACAGGAGAGGAGAATGCGTCCCTGCTTAAAGGGTGTGGGGTTTCTTGGCTTGCTTTCCCTTTCTTTCTTTCTTTCTTTCTTTCTTTCTTTCTTTCTTTCTTTCTTTCTTTCTTTCTTTCTTCTTTCTTTCTTTCTTTCTTTCTTTCTTTCTTTCTTTCTTTCTTTCACAGGAGAAAACCAAATTTATTTATTTTTTTAATTTAATTTTTTTTTT